CGTTATATACGGCCGCTCGAAGAGAGGCGCATCTCACGCCTAGGCAATAACAACATATATATATGTACACCTCGGGACGCTTGGGCCGTATATACGAGCGCCCTCTCCGATGATAAAAGGCCTTTGAGGGGGAGCCGTAAAAAGGACTCGTGTATACATGCATCACAGTGTACCTTACGAGCTGATAAAAATAAAATTAACCGGGATATTGTACATAAATATAGATAAGATTTGTTTCTTTCTTTTTTCTTTGTGTTACACATATTATATACACTAGAGGTATACGCGTACGCGCGTTTGATTACCCCGTTGGGGTCCAATTCGCGGGAGAGGCGTGAAATTCGATTCGCGAGTTATCGTAGCCGGAACACCGAAAGATCGTATCTCGGCGAGAGTATAGCCCCCCCTATGTATGGACGACGGACACAAAAGGCACACAAGCATCGAGTTCTCACGCGGAAAATCCGTATGTACGTAGCCTCCGTATCCCTCGACGCGTATACGCGGATAAGGACACTATACCCAGGGGGAGGAGGAGGAGGAGACGCATCGAATGCAAATGACGGACGTATCTTTGTTTCCCGGACTGTTTTATTCGGATGAATTAATTTTATAGCCGCGTATACACGGCCGGTGCGTTGTTGTCGCTGCTGCTTTTACGGCGGGGATATTTCAAATTTAGTGGGTTTCCATTATGGCTCCCCCTCGCGCATCGATGGGCTTTCGATGTACACTCCGTGGGGTAACCGTTAAACCCTCATCCTCCTCCCGCTACTTGCTCCGTGCAGCGTTCGGAGGGAGCGTGTCTTTTTGTTACCGAAGACATATATGTATTCATGGAATATATGTTGAGGAAAAAAAAAAAAAAAAAAATTTGTTAAAATAATACACACTACTTGTTACGCACTTTCACGATCCAAGCCTCGTTAAGTTGCGAAGAAAATATAATTGGAGCCATAACCACTTTATCCGCGTTCGATATGTCATTATGATTGTAATAGTATAGTGTAACCAAGTCCATGGTTTACGACAAGTTTATCTTGTCCGCGATTCTGGTGTAGGTGTGTGTACGATGTCCCGCTTACATTATCCCCGACAAGTCCAGTGATATTGGCTCCAAGTGTCATTAAACCCTTTTTGACTAGGATGCAAATTTGTACAATTGGAGCGACGGGGAGAATTGCTCAGACGGGGTGGCAAAAATCTCGGCGCCTTACCTCCAAAGTGAACGTTTCAATGATCGATGATAACCCGTGCGAACGCGCGGATATGAATAATACCCCACTCGCGGAAGTAGAGTATATGTTTCCACCAAAAAAAAAAAAGGGGGCCAAGGATTGAGCAATTTTCGCCCACCCACGGCTCGAGAGTTTCCAAGTACACGTATTATATTATACACGTCGAGTACGAGTGTACGAGGGAAAAGAGAAAGAGTGTCCCGAGCGCGGCCCCCGCGATGACATTTTATGATCTCGCGGGACGCCCACGCCCATGTGTGTATGATACACGAATATATATATATACGTGTGTGTATATGCGAGCACAGCTCCGGGGCCACGTTTGTTATTATGCGCGGTCAGTGTGTGTTTCACGTGCGTTGGGTACTTTGTGCTCTCGCGCGAAACCCCGTGCGTCCTCGTCGTCGTTTTCTTGACCATTATAATACATACATACGTATATACATACGAGTTTTTACTTTCGCGGGTGTAGTGCGCGTGCGAGAGTTTGTTATATTTTTACGCGTTTCATTTTTTTTTTTTTTTTTTTTTTTTTCCGAATCAATCGCCAGCGCGGACTTTGGATCCACAGAGGTATATATGATTCAAAGCTAACATAAAGTACGATGAAATAAAAAAAATAAAAAAATTTAAAAAACCCATCCTCGGTCAGCGCATCCGTGTACAATATAAATACGCGCGACACGGGTGGGCCGCGTCTACGGCGTAGGTGTGTATACATATATATATACCATACACGTGTGCCCTGCGCGGGTGAAAAATTTTTCCACCCGGTACGAGTCTCCACCGTGCAGCCCTCCTGCCTGTGCAACGGAGAAAAGAAAAGCGAGAGAGAGAGAGAGCTTGAGTTACACTCCGCAGATTATGACTGCGCGATAAACCAATAAAGTATATATGCGCCGTGGCGGGTGGGTGGGTGGGGGGGGGGAGGAGATGCGGGCTCGATGTACGCGCGCCGGGGACGAGAGATAGATGGACGCGCTCTCGCGGATCGGAAAAGAGGGAAGTGCGCCGCGGCAACAGGTGAGTTAGGGATCGAGAGAGTGCGCGGTGCCGCGCGCGGAGAAAAGCTTTTAATTTATGAGCCAAGCCCGTGCGTGTATATACATACATGTATATAACGTCTCCGTGTATGTACGTGTAGCTTTAATCCCGGCTGATGATTTTTCTCGACGAATGAGCGCGTCGGCAAAAGGGATGGATTTTCGTTTTTTGTGCTTTTTTTATTTTTTGTTTTTGCGAGGCGCATTAAAGTACGAGTGAAATACGCGTATAGCCGCAGATACATATAGGGGATGACCACCAAAAAACATTTATCTTTCTCTGTCCATCTCTCTGTCGCTTAGCGACACATTTCTTTACTTCATTGCACTTGGAACCTAACTAAATTCTGTTTTTCGAACCATACTATACTTATCCGACGTCCGGGTTGTGTTAATTTTCGATTGTGATTTCGACACGTTTGCCCTTTGAGTTCATCGGGGTAAAAAGCAACAAAGGAGAGATTTTCCAAATTTCCACGAAACCTTGGAAATAGTCTCCTCAAATATCCATCGAATGCTTACAAGTAATCAGTGCACAATTCAACCACATACGTATACTTACCTCGTATCTCTCGTGGACGCGCGATTAAGTGGAGTGCTATCTCCGTACGTGCAGGGCACGAAACGCGCGTCTACTCGTCTAGTGATTATCCTTCAATTATTCGATCCGAGCCGAGGGAGTATAAAGCGCGCCTATGTACGTGCCGCCAATAAATCGACGGATTAAGCCTCATCCCGCTCTTCTTACCTGGTCCGTAGAGTGTAACAGCGGTATTTAGCCTTATCAATTATCCCGTCGCGGCCCGGAGCGAGGAAGATTCATCGCTCGGAGCAGGTGTTGGAAAATCGCTCGCGGTGCTGGTGTTTCTCATTGTTTTTTTTTTTTTTGTTTTTTTTTTTGTTTTTGATCGATTACAAGCACGTGGCGCGTCCAGGGTGGTTTTCTTCTTCCGCCAGGGCTTTTACTAATAGAGCTATGACTTTGGTTCGACAAAATGTTGGAAAACTCCGATCGAGCGCTTTTTTTTTTGTTCAATTGCTTAGGGTTGAGTACCCATTTGCATGCAGGCCCTGTAATTATACTTATACAAACATATATTTTTTATCGTGAATTAAATGAAACATAATCCATCTAATCCCTTTTCCGTACACTGAGAGAAAAGAAAATTTTTATATTACTGTGCTAGAATGGTAACTTGGTGTCACTCAAATATGATGAATAAATAATTGTATAAAAAATATAAAATTATTGTTCATACAGCAAAGTTTTTTTACACAACTGACCAGTGCCAGATTATCATTTTAGCACGGTAATTATCATAATTTTTATCTCTTCGTTATACCCAAGTTATAAAATAATTAGCACCTCAAGTCAACAATTAATTGAAATAAATACCATTCTCCCAAGACTTGATCAATTCATAATAAAATAACCCGAACCCATGTATACGATGTAGCGGCGATCGGCGCACCAAAGTGAAAATATCAATTTACCTCGACTCTCTTCACCTCGCACCTAATAAATAACCCCCCTCTTAGAGGAGCAAAAATAAAAACACTCAGCTCGGAAAATCGCACTTCTCGTCTCGGATTTCGTATCCCCCCCCCCCCCGAACCTCTTATACAAGCCGATCCGATAATTGGCACCCTCGCACCCTTAAAAGTCCCCCCAACGGTCGCGTAAAAAGCCCACGGTGTACTCGCTCGAGCGTATATACAGAGCTTAGGGGCAATTTTCGCTAAACGCTCCAAGGTAGGGGAGCGCGGTTCACCTCCGGGGTCCAAATTACCGCGCAAGGCCTCGCGTAATGACCCCCACAGCGTGATTTTTCCTCTTTACGAGATTTCCGCGGATTTACGACAAGCCTGGCGCACGTATAGGATCGAATTTCGCGGACACGTATACACTTACATGTATTCGCACGGAGGAGGAGGATACCTCGTATATGTACATACGGCAGAAGCTGCTAACGGTAGGGGTGAGCATTATATGACGCCTTGTTACACGGCCATATCTAATGGCGAGGCTTTTACTCATTTTAACCAAGTTGCCGCGGTGATGTGTGCCATTTCGCGCTTATACGAAAATTTTTCTCTCCGTGTGCTTTTCGTCGCGGCTATTTTTTCGTCATCGGAGAGAGTAAACACAATACTCTGATGGCCAATGGGAATAAATCGCGGTCGTCAAATATCTCGTGAATTCCGCGAAACGCGGGTATACCAGCAAATTTTCACAGCAGCTCTACACAAGTTTGTACATATAATATAGACACAAACACACATATATAGATAACAATCCCTTGGAGTTACGACCCGCGATCTCTATCGCCATACGGGCGCTATAACCAGAATAAATAACTTGACGCGCGCTAAGCTTTGTCACCCATTATATAGTACGTATATGTGGAAAAATACACTCGAGAAAAATGTCCCTTGTATATATATATATAACATACTCTCTAGATCATCACCCCTTTCCCGGAGCCTCTGTTACCAGCCGCATTATATATCCATCAGGTGTACACGTCCGTATGCGCGTCTCCTTTTTTCCCCTGTATACTTACGTACACCCCGAGTTGAACTAGTAATTCTCTCGTTCTTTGTAAGTTTTTTTCGCGCGCGACGCGTGTCGAGGCTCCCATAACGTGCGCAATTGCTCGCTCGCCCACGTACGTCACGCGAGATGTCTGTATAACTAAAATGGTCCTTTTTGATGCAGTGTCGCCGAGCCTGCCACTGGCCGACATGGCCCGGCATCAGCACCACCACCAGGAGCCGGCGGAGCGCGCGCGTCGAAGCTCGGCCGTGGGGACGACGCCGGCGTTGGCGGCCGGGGCGAGCGCCCAGGTAAACAGCAGGCACCAGCCCAACAGCCAACAGCAGCCGGTTGTGGTGGTCAACTGCGCGGACAGCAGGCCGGCCGAGAGGAACGACGCGCTCACGAGGACGACGGCGCGCCACAGATGCCGGGAACGCCAGCCTGCGTCCATATGCTCGATAGAGCCGCCCGATCCGGTCTTTGTTTCCTCCTCCGCGGCACTGCTCGCCCTCCAAAAGATCAAGGAGGCTACCATGTGAGTGTGTTTTTTTTTTTTTTTTTTTTCCTCCTCACCTCGGTTGTTTATCCAATCGGTCATTTCCCAACGATATGAAACGCTATCGAGTCCGAGGGGCAAAAAACAACGACTCGTATCTTGGCTAACGCGGGCATGAATAATACATCGTGTCGTTACATGCGTGTATGTTTATTACGAGGCCGTGGCGCACTTGCGCGGCAAATGACCGAAGGTAAAAAAAAACGAGATGTGCGATGATAATAAAAATTTGTCGCTTTATGACGGGGGAAAAAAAGGGGAAAATCGAGGCGCGATGAATCAAGCTCTCCCGAGGCGATGATTTCTTGGACGACCGAGGTTTTTGCGAGGTATGTAGCACGGAAATCGTCCTCGCGGTGTCGAGGGACTTGCGAAGGGCCCATAAACGCGACCGATGTAGATGTTGTTTTTTTTTTTTTCTTGCCGATCTCGGACATTAGATTTTACCGATCTGTTCCGCAAATCGTCGATGGAGCCGATTTCGAGAAAAATAAGGCGCGCGTGGTGAAGGCCCACCCATGCCGGCGAATAAATTCGGGGCCCAGAAAAAAAAAAAAAAAAAAAAAAAAAGTTCGGACGTATCAAAGGGAGTTTGGGAAAGGGGGGGGGCGCAAAAATAGGGATAAAAGTTTCCGAGGTCGAGGATCGAGGGAGGAATGGAAAAAGGGGACCCGTTACCCGCGAGCTCGTAAAGTAACGCGTCGATGATATTTGTTATTAGCCGGTTTTCGCTGTGTGTACGGGCGCGAGGAGTGGTTCGCGGAAGTCCAGCTACCGTGTGCGGGGCCTTCGAAAATTTCATCCTCTCTCTCTCTTTACGAGCTCGCGCCCGACGATTTTAATGAAAGACAGAGAGAGAGAGAGAGAAAGCTGCTCGTAATGATTGGTCGTTGAGCGCGGCAGGGGCTTTTGTGATCGAAATCCAAGGGAGGCTGTGGGTTTGATTTCGGAGAGATGAATGGGATCTTTTTTCTTTTAGCCAGCCAAGGATTGTGGTTACCGTGATGTCGGGCTGTGGTTATGGGTCGCGAGAAGTAATTTTTGGGGAACTGACTTTAAGGAGTGTCAATATGTAATTACATGCGTTATACAGGAGAGTAGGGAGGTTGTTTTTCTCATTTGGAGATGTAAAGGTGTACGTGGACGTAAAAACGATACTTTTTACTACATGTATAGGTAAATGCGGGATAAAGAGTTTTTAAAAGTTTTTTTTTTGTTACTAAAGTCCCTTGATTTGTTTTTTTTTTTTTTTTTTT